TAAGGATATGAAAGTCTTACCTGTATGGTACCACATCCCTTTAGTGGCAACTCTAATCTATAGCTTAAGGCTCCTTTACCATTTACACGACATGCGCTACTACGATCGTAGTCAGCTTGTATGATGCCATGAAAAGGTTCGTTAAACTTGAGATCAACCTTTAAACAATAAAAAAAATCAATTTATTTACATGAAAGTAATTTAGATTAATATTGCTGTTATTAATAGAAAGGCATAGGGTACAACTTACTTGCATTGAGCCAGCAGCACAATTCAATGCAGCTTTGGTGCGATTCAGAAATATCAATGGGCTAATATCGTCCAATTTTGTAACCTAAAATTAAACCAAACATGTTTTAATTATAATATTAGTATTTCATAGATTAGATAAGGGATTTTAAATTTCAAATACAATTTATTACATATAGTATTTGCAATTCAGCATATGTTCAGAGTAATTAATTTTACACAATTCGCATTGAATGTCACATTGCAGTATTATAAGTACTATTTATATATCTGTTTCACAATTAGCAACAATAAAACATTTGTGATATTTGCGTTACTCCGATATCATTAGGTATCATCAATTTTTCTGTTATGTAAGCCACGAAAGCCAATTTCAACAACAACAATTAAACAACCACACAATTTCCTTTGAAAGCAATTAAGTAAAATGTTGGGAAAATAATTAACATAATTTTCCATAGAAAATCACAAACGCAGTGGTTCATATGTTGCAGTCAATGCGGCATACGCGGAACCCGCATTCATATTGAGTGCAATATGCTTTTAGGTTTGGTGTCACTAACCAATATGTGGATGTGGAGTGGATATGTGGAATTGCAGATACATGATTGCGTGTGGCAAGCCATTACCTGCTGGTGTGAAATTATTACAAAGCTCCATATATTGGAACTCATATTATTACAGCAGCCTGACGCAATGAGGAAATTGGCACAGAAGCCACTATAATTAGGAAGGCCCTTTACTTTGGCTTAAAGATATTTATTTCGCTTATGTACTTTTTTGAATTAAAAAATTTTATGGTTTGTGGCAATAATTAATTATTAAATTAATTTGTGTAATATATTAAAATAACAGATGTATGTTTATTTTTAGTTTCATTTTTGTTGAAAAAAATTTAGATACAAATTTTGTATCTCATCATATTTGTTGATGATGATTACTTGACAATATTTGAAATAACTATATGAGCTGTTAAAAATAATTTTAAATAATTAATTAATTAATTAAATTAATTGAAAATAATATAAAAAGGAACACAGTTTATACTAACTGTTGTAATAAAACACAAAGTGACAAAGCTATTAAAATAGTATTAGTTGAGAAGAAAATACTACACTAAACTTACTGAAAGGTCATAACTACATACGATCAGACAGCAAATTCGTGTTTATTCGTAGTATATACTATGCTATACTATATACTATGCTGTACTTTATACTATAAACTTCATATTTATGCATAATTGATGACCTTAAATATTATTTAGAACTATATTTTCTCTTTTATGTAGCAAATTCTATATGATCAAATTTTGATGGAATGGAAATTCTATATACGATCTTGAAACACAGAAAGTTGAGAACTGGAGAAATTAAATGCTCATATATACCACATTAAATTTATTTTTAACGTCCGTTTTGACGAAAGAAATTAAATTCCTTTTATAAACAATTGTTTCCAATAGAGAAGTTTTTATCGAACAGTAGTGAATTGCAACAACAGACATTTTTAATAATTTTTAATTAATTTTTTTTCAAAATATTAAAAAATTTTTGATTGATGTGCTTAGGAATTATATCTTATACATATTTAGTTATTAGTAAACAATTTTTTTAAACTGCAATTATGAGAGGTTGCACTCATACCCTGCTAAATTTGAACCTCAGAGTCAGTATTCATTAGCCAATTGGCTTAATTGGCAACAGGCCATCTCTGGGGTATGCTGTGTTGGGTTACTTTCAATAAAAGAGTTAAATTCACTCTTGAAGGATTGCAAGGATGCTCTCTGTTATATCAGAAGTTCTAATGTTCATAAAGACTATTTTAGTGAAGCCATCAAGTTCTTTAACTAAAAACATCTAAACTTTTCAAAAAAATAGTTTGTCATTTTCATTAATTCTTTAGTTGTGCTTAGAAAAATATAAGCCACACAAGGACAATTTCCCAATATCCGTTCTATTACAGAGCGGTTTTACAAAAAATGTTGTGGTAGATTATTATTCTCTTCAAGTGCTGATTAATGGTGTTGCACCTAGAGGAAGGAATAGGAGTGCTAACTATCACTAACTCCATTAAATCCGAACTCACAAATGTAAAACTTAAGATACCTACACTGATATGTAGTGAGTTAGCTTTAATGACTTTATTTGCAGAGGCTCTACAATCAGGACTTTAAGAAAAACATGATAATAAGGACACATGACATATCATGTGGTATTGAAAATTATGTTCGCATTATGGATTATAAAGCTACTACAATACGATTGATTGTTAGGGTACAAAAGGAATGGAATGAAACGACTGTGTCTCGAAATTACTTACTGAAGGTAATATGGAAACCATAAACACATAAAAAATTTTAAATAAATTTTCTAAATCTATATATTTCCTACATCTAAATAAATCTAGTATCTAAATAATAAAATTAGTTTAAATTATATGAGTTAAATAATCTTAATATTATTAAATAACAAAATAATAAATAAGTAATAAAAACAAATAAATTAATCAAAAAAATTAAATAAACGAATAATGTTGTCAGTTAATTAACAAACGCTGACTCTGAGCTTTAAATTTGGCAGGGCACGAGTTAAATCTTTAATACTTGCAGTCTTAAAAGAACGAAAATTATTTACGAATAATTTAATATAATAAATATATTCAATATCACTGATAATGGGTATTTGGCAATTCTGGAAACAGTTGTGTGGTCATCCAAAAATTTAATTAATTAAAAATAATAAAAAATGTTTGTTGTTGCAATTTCACTATTTCACTAAAAACTTCTCTATTTAAGCTAAAAGTTTATATAAGGAATTAAGTTTCTTTTGTCAAAACGAACGTTAAGATACAATTTAATAAATAAATATGTAGTAATGCTTTAATACATCATCAAAAACAATATTTTCGTTCAGAATTTGAAACCCAAAATGAAGTTAATTTTTAAAATCATTGCAAAAATTATATATCTTATATTTATGATAATTAAATTTATTTTTTTCTAATGAGAGCTTTTATTTTCAGTAAAAATAAACTCACTTAAAGCATGATGAATATAGGCATAATATCTAAACCGTTTTTTGCATGAAAATTAAGAAAAAAGTTAGAGTATCTAGAACTTTTAGTTTGAATTCTATTGCACATGAGAACAGCTGTAGTTCCGACTACTATTAAAAACAAGGCCAAATAAAAAATTAAATTTAACTTTTATCTGCGCTCCTGAAGTAGTTAGTAGATTTCACTTGAAACTTATCAGAGGCATTCACTTTTGCAGATTGGAAGCAGAAAAAACAACTCGGACTCGCATCCATTGAACTTTTGATTTTTATCAAAATTGCTACTTTTCTGTTGCAGCACAAATGCGATTGAATATTTTGCATACCAAACACGTTTCGTAGTAAAACTTTTTTCGTTTTTGTATCTTTTTATTTTTATCAGATCGTTTTAATGCGAATTTTATCTGTGCACTGCAAAAACACAGTAAAACTGCAAAGCCTTTACACAAATCATTGGAACGGCAGCAAAAGTGATTATATTTGATTTAACTTCAGTTGACACTTCAAGCGTAAATCCCCGATTCGAACCAAGTATCTCAAAGGCGTGGCAGAGGGTAATTGCGTAAAATGCGTAGATTTATTTACAGTTTTCACATAAAAAACTAAATAAGTTGGCAATGCTATTGTGGAATGCTTTTCGTGGATTAAGGGGATTGACACTCAGTTACGTCTGTGCATTGCGAGTATTTCAAAAGTGCCAAGAATATTAAGTTGTGATGTTTTACGTGATTATTTATCAGAAGTACAATCGAACTGCAGTTGGCGAGTTGTCATAAAAACATAAAAATTATGTGCTTTGTAATTAAAAAAGCGGGAGTACAAATTCAATAAAACTTTTTGATATTTCTAAATATTAGAAATGATTAAAATTTTAATGGATGTTATGCAGATACATTGCTTTGACATACTCTGAATCATTCTAATCGAATTCAAAATTCATTTTATTTAAAATTTAATAAAAATTTTATATTTTTATAAAAATTAATTATTAAGCAATAAATAGGAGAGATCTTTTGGGATATAGTGATCAGTTTGAACGAAAATTGTGTAATAATTTTTAAAATAAAAATTAGTCTTCTAGGGTTTTTTTTAGAGATGTATAATATTTCGAACAGTAGTGAATTACAACAACAACTTTTTTTTTTATTATTTATTAATGTGCTTGTTATTGCTTTTATAATTTGCTGTTCTCTGAATACTATTATTTCGGTTAGAATAAGTTAAATGCTACATGATTTTTTTTTTAACTTCATTTTATTATATACAATCTATTCTAAACATAAATAATAAGTACTACTTATGGCAATAACAATATTTGACAGGCTTGCACGGGACTGCCCAGTGGTAATCACCGCCTTATCAAGTATTACAATTTCTCCATAGTGTTGTGTTTCTATTAAGTAGAAGTAAGCAGGTAGGCTGTATTAGAATACGATTATTATGTTGTGTTTTAGAATCTACTCCTTAAAACATGCTACAAGTAGCAAAAAATTTTTGGAACTGTTTTTTGTTTCTTTGTGAGGCATTAAAATAATCAGATAATATCATATCGTTCGCATATCTTAATATTAATTAATCTTAATATTAACTTTATCAATACAGATACCTCCTTACACTATCCTCCCTCTTAATATCTAAATATAGCGCAAATATAAGAGATTTAGTATACGACGCCTTTATATAACTGGGGACTATGAGTCAAAATACTCAGATATTTTTATTCCATGAAAAAAAAAAATGTGATGAAAAATTAATTAATTCAATTTTATCCTGTATTTTTCACTGACTTATCAAATAGTCTTTGTATATACCATACCAAATTTTTATTTTTCGTGTTGAAAATTTTTAATATATTAGATTAGATTAGGTTATACCGGCGATGCACTTAGGCTTATGTCCCATTGTGTTACCGTATATAGAGGAAAGTCAGGATTTAAATTCACCTAAAACCTTTGAAGAAGCTGGTTTTTAAAGTTTTGAGTCATCGCCAAGCATGAGCTGGGCAAAGAGATAGTAGATGAAATGCACTTTCATCGTCTTCTACACAGTTGTGGTAGGTATTAGGGAGAGAGAGATTCAATCTTCTAGCATAGTTCCTTAGTCTGGAGTAACCTGTTAGTAAACCTACCATAAGTCTGATATCTCTACGAAGTATCTTAATGAGAATACTGTATTTATTTTTAGTGAAAAATGGCCAGATTTTATATAGTGGCTTGCATATTAAGAAAGAAACCAATTTTGAATATAGTAGCATTAAGGAAATTTTCAAATTGAAGAACACGTATAGTTCTTCGGCTCTAAATGAAAAGATTTCATTTCTTGGCACTTGCTGTCCAAAAATGAAATATAAACGAATTAATTAATAGATTTTGCGAAATATCATTAATGCTGAATATATGTTATAGCGATATTCTAAGCAGCGCTATGGTTGATCGAATAATTTAATAATTTAAATTGTTTTTTTTATTGGATTTAAATTCATTATAAAATCAGAAAAGGGGGCTTATTTAAAGTTAATTATAATAAAGTATTTGTGACAAAAACACGGCGGAATATATGGTTTTTATAGGAAAATTGATAAAAATTATTATTACTTTTTCTTTTGTTGAAAATATCTTTTATTTTCATTAATATTGAAATAAGTTTTAAGGGCAGTACTTTTTTGAATTATGAAAGGGATGAATTTAGTATTTTTATTATAAGGTTTCTTGCGAGGAATGTGGTAGCAAAATGGCGAAAAATCGCTTATTGAGGTCAATGGAAAGTTATCTGCAGTCAACGAACCAACAAATATAATAAAAGAAACATTAATATTTAATTACAAATAATTTTAAAATTAATTTTATATATATAATATATAAATATATTTTTTTATAGTCCCCCCTAACATTCAGAGTTGAGAGTTTATTTTTCTGTTCGAAATAGATTTCTTGTCATAGCTCAAATACAATTTTCAATTTTCAATCTCAAATATTTTCTTAAAGAGTGGAGCATCTTTAAATTAAATTTAGCAAAGCTTGCCGCAACTAATTTAAAACAAAACAATCTGATATAAAAATAAATTTGATAATGTTGAACTAACCTTCCCGTCCAAAGTTGCCTCCTCGGGCAAACCATTTGTTGTGTAATTCCCGCTGTCACCCTGCTGTACATAATTCGATTGTGCGAGTGTCATGTCGAGTTGTGCCGAGCACAACATTAACAATACCAAAAGCGCAGATACATTCATATTAGCCAATTTCAACGGTTTCAACGGTTTCAAGAAGGTCTGTGGGCCGGATGTTGCTTTGTTTTCTCTAAACCTTTGCCTGTTATGTCGGTGGTGGAACTTTAACATCTGAAAAATACACAAAAAGAAAAGTTTAAAGTATATGAGAAAATATCATTAAAATCGCTGAAAATATTTTAAATATTTATGTTGCTAACTAAATGAGTTACATCGTTTGAATTGCATCAACAATAACAATCAACAATAATGTACATAGACAACAAAAAATAAACAAATAAGCAAATAAACAAATTAAGAAAAAAGAAAAATAAGATAATTAAAGTAAATTTCATTAAAGAGCAAAGTACAGCCGAAGAACTGAAGACAGAAAACTATGGGACAGAAATAAGCGTACGAGTATCTCATTAATTTAACGAGTTAACCAGAAGCGCGCAATTCGCTGTGCTGGTACACGTTGTTCAAATATGAAATTTACACGCATGCATATCTTGCAGATGCCAAACCAAACAGAATTTTTACTCATAGTTCAGAAAAAAAGAGCCATTAAAGAGGCATCCTTCAGCATCGCTGAAAGCTGAGAGCTGAACTGCATTGTACTCGTATTATGCGAAAGATTTGCAAAGGCATTTGTGTTAACCTGGCCTTTAGTGCTGCCGCCTGATCCATACATAATTGCTATTATTAAACGCTTTTTAGCTTTGGTCTCTTGGCTCGAAGGGCCCTAGTCGTGCTAAAGTGTTTAGTCAGGGATGTACACTCGTACTCTTACCACGGTCTTTTTTTAATCGATATTTATCGCTTAACTATGTTAGCCATGCGCTTTTTTCTTTGCTTTATCTATTTATCTAGTAACTAGTAAAAATTGCATAAATATTTTATCTCAGCTGTATCTACATATCTACATATTAAAGGCAGGACACTTAATTTTTTCAAACTTTTTTATTTATATTTTTTTTACTTTTTGGTTGTTGTTTTAATTTTGCTTGTTAATGTTTTTGTATCTTAAGTATGCATAACATATGCATCGTTTATTTGCACATTTTTTCAAATTCAAATTAAGAAATTGTTTTTTTTTGTACTTTTATTTGTTTAAGTCTCGTAAATAAAAAACTTAAAGACTTTTGCATAAAGTGCACATTTATTTTTATTGCCCGGATTTGTCATTAATGTCGCAGGTTAATGATTTTTATTGCAGAAATTAATGCCGCCATCATAATCAGCCTTGCCTACATAAAAATGTACTCAGATAAAAAATTTCTAATATAAAATTTACTTTTATTTGCTTTTTTAATGATGCCAATTTACAGGTAAAATTTTTGTAATAATTTTCAAGTCAAAGTTTTTGTTTCGAAATCATTAACCCCTTTAGACCCCAAGTGCTTGTCTATGTCTACGTTGACGTCGGACTTAAGTTAATTTATTGACAGTGGAAGATACACATGCAAAAGAGATCTTGTACCTTCTATTTAATGTCACTTCTCAATTGATTTAATGTTACTTCTACACAATTTTAGTATAGAATATATAAGTATTTTATTATTTATTTATTTTTTTGATTTTAACTGCATAATTAATTTTAGCTATAAATATTATCAATCGTATTGATTTTTAAATCACATTAATTTCCAAAGTTATAGCAATCTTTGTAGTACAATAAAAAAAAAATAAAAAGATTAGAAAGTAAAATAAAAAAAAATAATAAAAATATTAATATTATTATAAATATTATTATGAATTATATTATAAATATTATTATATATGTTATTATGAATATTATTGTAAATATTATTATAACTAGTATAATAATAGAAAATATTAATAATGTTTTCTATTATAAATATTATAAATTTTATTAATATTAAAATATTTTATAAAAATATTAGAATTATAATGTAATATATTTTTTGATAATATTATAAATATTATTATGAATAATATTATAAATATTATTATGAATAATATTATAAATATTATTATAAATGATATTATGAATATTATTAAGAATATTATTAGGAATAATATTCTATATATTACTATAAATATTATTTTTAATATTAATATAAATATTATTTTAAATATTATTATAAATATTATTATGAGTATTATTATAAATATTATTACAAATGTTATATATTGAAAATAGACATTTAAAGTTAAAATACGTTAAGTTTTTTATTGAAGTTTATCGATTTTATTTTATTCTACTTTATTTTATTCTATTTTATTTTGTTCTATATTATTATATTTTATTTTATTCTATTCTATTTAATTTTATTATATTTTATTCTATTCTATTTTTATTTATTATTATTATTTTATTTATTTATTTTATTTTATTTATTTATTTATTTATTTACTATTTATTTTATTTATTTTATTTATTTTATTTTTTTTATTATATTTATTTTATTTTATTTTATTTTATTTTATTTTATTTTATTTTATTTTATTTTACTTTATTTTATTTTATTTTATTTTATTTTATTTTATTTTATTTTTTTTTTATTTTATTTCATTTTATATGTTTTAAGTACACAAAATATATTATTCGTTTTATATTAAACTTTGCGAGTTGCATTTGACAGCTTATTGGTTTCAGACTAACACACTATTCTACTGCACCATACTACTTACTACTACATACTACGGTAGACCGTTCCTCCAAACTATAACATAGCTAAGCTTATTGATTGATTATCTGTAGTGTTATAATCTTAACCAGATGAAATTGTCTGAAAACACATAATGTGGACTATGCTTGGAGGGGTTAAGATATCTAGTCACTTTCTTCTGACTGATCAGTTTTGATCCAATTCAACAGGAGATCACTGTATCGGGAGTTTCTATTTCTATCTAATATTAAAGTATTTCCAACAATTGAAATTTTGGACTTTATTCGAAGGGCAAAGTGTTTTCTGTAGAGCTAAATACTAGCAGTCTGGTAGCCAGTACCTTACTATCCCGTATAGGTATATTACATTTTAATATTATATTGAAATTTATTGTCTTTATATATTACGGATTCTGGCTGTAACGTCAGTTCATTGCTTTTATTTAAATAAAAAACTCAATCGTTGCGCAAAACTATCACAGTATTAAAAACATTTATAGATGTGAATTTCTTTTAGCTAAGTTATCTAATAGATAAATTGAGTTTGCTGCACTTCATGCACTTACAATTAGCATTTGATATTTAAACCGATTATCACATTTCAAGGTAGTTAGTTGTGTGAACATTTTATAAATTAAATAATATTTTACTGCAGCTTGTGAAATAATTCTTCAAACACTACGAGGGGAGGACACATTCTTGAGTATGTTAGAATTTTATAATTTATACAAAAATGCTCTTGATGGTAAAATTTTTCCGGTAGTATATAATTTAAAATTCTAATTTATTTTTTTTTGTACCATGTTAATTTATTGTTGTACTACATAAGTATATGTAATTATCTAAAAAGAGGTTTTGAAAAAGCGAATTAAATTTTTAGCAAAGTACCTACATGCAGATGTAGTCATTATCAGTACACCAACAATGCCTATTTAATGACTCCCTGAATGGTTCTTTTCAATTATATGCTTTTAGAATCATAAGTTATCCCTACGACAACCTATGATTTCTGTTTCTGTTAAACGTCGTTCTAGTATTGAAGAATTGATAAAGAATTGCTTATTTGGAATGTTTCCTTATCTTGCATAAGGGAATAGATCTGATTACTTAAATATTCTTTAAAATCTGTTTTAACTTTTCAACAATCACACCGATTAAGAGTAGTTTGCATATAAATGTGTCATTTTTCAGTTTACTTATCTATTTGCTTGCCTATCTGTTTATTTGTTAAGCTATACTTTCTATTCTAAATCTTTTCTAAATTCATTTATTTCTCAATATGTCTGTTCACATGTTTATTCTTATGCCAACTACAAGCCAAGTCCTTTTTATAGCTGGTTAACTCTATATAGTTAGTATTTGGTACCATATATATGATAAAACACTAGGGTATGGTAGATGTCATCTAAAATCTGAGATATCAGAACTGTTTCGAGAATACAATGCATTTTCTTTGCAATTGTCTGGTATTTCCTAGTGACAGATTGAGATTTTTTCGTTTCAATATGGTAGGCATGAACAGTGTTCACTCTCTTTCCTTCTCTCTTCCTCTATCTCTTTCTCTATCTCTTTCTATCTCTATCTTTCTCTTTCTTTTTCTCTTTCCCTCACTCTATCTTTCTACTTATCAGTAGTATGTCAAATATTGTATCATATTCATTTTTTATTATTCTTAGAGAATGCATTATATATTTATACTTCTATTATATCAAAAAATTTAAGTGTTCTATCTCTAAACGTTTATTAAATTGTGGTTGAATACGAGTATAGTTTGAACAGAAAATTAAAATTAAAATGCTTACATAAAATTTTCTGCCGATTAAACGCAAATTTTCTGCATATTTATTAACACTTTAGTATATTTTATTGAAAACCCTCACTGTAATAAAATCTATAAAAACTGGGAAAGTGGGATTAACCAGTTTTAATACTAAACGCTTCATATTAACTTGTTATATTCTCATTCATTGTAGCCTAACGAATCGAACTAATACCATTCAGAAGCTCTTATAATGTATCTGAATAGTAATTGAACAGAATAGCAAGTATTAAATTGTAAATTTAATTTGTTCATAAATTATGATTTTAGTTTTAAAAAACGAAATGAAAGTTATTCGCTTTAATAATAAATTAAAATTTATTTATTTTTTAAATTTACAAGTATTTTTTTAGAATTTTAACTTCAGCATTACAAAGTCATTATCACTTAATTATTGTTTAGAAATCAAATTTTTTTTATTAATTATGAATCATTTTATATAATATAAATAATATTTTCTTTATAACAAAAAATCAATAAATTATTTATAGATGAATTATTAATATTTTTTTTTATTAAGTAGAAATGTTATATTTTATTAAACTTCAACTAAACTTAAAGTACGGATGCAAAAACTGAAACCTAAACCTAAACCTTGATTAATTGATTAATTAATAACTAATTAATTAATTACTAAAATTTAATAATTTCAAAAACAATTTTCTGATGTAGTA